AATAGTCCTTTTTACAGTTCCCGGCGCCATATTGAATGTGTAACCGCGCAAACATGATAGCGAGGTTAGTGTTGAGTCGCGTTGCGAGTTCTAGTGAGAGTTTAGTGAAATGTGGTGGTGCTCTGTCCTTTTCATCGAGATATTTCGACAATGAACGATACTTTCCCTACGCAGGATATTCCTCCTTCTTCTTCGAAAGGAAGAGGAAGACACTGTGCCGCTTTTTGGTTGTGCTAATAGCTATTATGACACAGCAGGCAATCCAACAGGTCTGCATTTCTTCTAGTTTCCGAATGACTTCCAGCAGTGAATCAGATGGTGCAATCTCCTGAATCGCCAGCATGGAAAGGACGGATTCTTCATCACAAAATCAATTTTTTTGTGCTCAGAACATTTCAAAAAAGAAGACATGCGAAAAAACGTGGGCAGGTCGCTGGAAATTGGTGAAAGGTTTATAATGTTTGTACGGTTGTTTTGTTGCTTGGATACCGAAAGAAAATGCCTGCTTTGATTTTCGGTATTGAAGTGTTTATGTTGGGATTTTTGTTTTGGGGGGTTGGGGGGGGGGATTTTTTTCTCCTTATTAAAAAGGTGATATTTATATTTCTTTGTGTACTGTGGTCTTATACGATATCTGTGAACTGAATGTAAAATTATAAAATTGTAATGTACAATTAAAATGTAAAATTATAAATTTATAAAATGATGAGTTTAATTATTATATATATGGGCAGAACCATCTCGATTTAACTGGTCAGTACCGAAAAAACTATGGAAAATGCCTGCTAAAAGGGTCCCAGTAGCAAATGTGACAACTCAAGGGGAGTCATATGAAGTTGAACAGGAATTATTTCACCAAGAAGTTAAAGCACCTGTGTCAACTGTCAGTGCTGCTTCACCTTCACCAGCTCAAATTTAATGCTCCAATTGATTTAGGTGTAATCTTTCCTTACATTAAGAAATATTAATATTAATGTTGTTAGTACTCAGGGAAAAAAGATGATGTTGGGCTTGTGAAATCAAGATAAGGTATCATTGTACATTTTGTAAATAAGGGAAGTGATTGGCATGACAATAAAATGCGAGTTAAACTATGTCTTTATGGGAAAGAGCTTCAAAATTCTATTCTTCAAACGTAACATTTCGAAGAGCCCATTGACAATAATTAACATTATTATTCACAGAAAAAAATAATCCTAGTTGTTGCATATTGAGCAAACTCTTGCTGTATATTCTTGTGAAGGAGTTCTTGTGCTGGAAATGGGAAAGGTTCTTTTAGTTCCACATAGAGGAGATGAATCCATGTAATGCAGATTCTGGACACCAGGCTTGTGCTGATTTCAAATCTATCAGCAAGATCTTGTACAAATAACCAAGCCTTTAGTRTCATAAGTATGAGCAAAAATTCAACCAAGAATGACAGTTTCTTGAAGGCCCTGGCTTATTTCTGTTATCATCTGTTTGGTATGGCTGACTCTCTTTTGACAATTTCTCTCCTTTCCAGTACTGCATCTTTGCCAGCATTGGTTCAATAAATTACAAGTCACGCAACTTCGATAACTCCATAACCAAACCAAATTTCTGTAGGAAGAGTACGGGTTTATTATCTTTCTTCCCCACCAGTGACGTAAGAGCGAGCTGAAATGACCGCTGACATCGATTTTCTGAGCCGCCGTACTACGAGGCCAAAACACCCCTTTAAACTATTTTTCCGAGGCGAAGTTGGGCCCAAAGACTGAAAAAAAAACCCTCGTACATTGCTATTTGAACTATAAGCTGCAATTTTAAAATGGTTCATTTTTAGGCTTCAGTTCCCCTTTAATGCTCCTCATTGATCGCTACCATCTCCGAGAGACACTTTTTTCAGGGATCGAAGTGATCCCGGAAGGCAGGTGTTATCGACCAAACGAGGCAAAAAAGAAAAAAACAAAAAAAACAAAAAACAAAAAAAAAACAGCCATAAAAACCATGAAACTCGTTTAAAACCAGTCATGAAGAACAAATGAACTAGATCATCGTTTTAGTGCAGAGAGATACAGCTAATTCAACGTAATAGCCAATGCTTGAGTCTGATGTGAGGGAATCTGAAACGGAACTTCAAGGATCATTTTTGCTGAAGTAAGCAATTAAGAAAATATGACCGGGATCGGGATTAGCCGGTAGAAACCGTCGGGATCTCGGGATTGAGAGAAAATTCCGATCGGGATGGCGGGATTAAAGAACCCTATTGGGGACCCTAGTTATGCTCTCAAAACTGATTACTGAAATTGTCGTAACGACATCGTTTATCATTTGAGTTCAGGTCAAAAGCAAAAATGGCTATGATGATGCTATTTTTGAAGCCGTAGCCAATTCTTCAGATAGCACTTGGAGTTCATCAAATGATGCTGTCTCAGTTGATAAGACGGAAGACCAAGACTTTCATGTTGATAACGATACTGGTAAGGAAGTCTCGAAAGCGGACGTAATTACTGAAGTTACCGATGAGCAAGATTTTATCGTCACGTCGGAAATTTCAATCAGTGTGGAAGAACAGCCATTTACAGAGGGGGAAAGGAAAAATGAAGAATCATTTGAAATCAATACTTCTCAAACTGATTTTCCTTCGGAGCAGGTACGAGGGCATATGATACAGAGCAAACAGTTCAGGGAACAGGGTTGCCTAATTTGCTCGGACACGATTTTGCCCACTGAAAAACCAATCACTCAAATGGAAGATTCTACTGTTGATTTTCGGCTGTATTGTAATGTAAGCAAAGACCATTTGAACACCCCGACGAGAGGGAAGGAGAACACAAATGATGACAAAATGAGGGATGGAGTGAATTCATCGATTGATGAAGAGGAAATTATTGCCACTTCTACGCCACAGCCCCAGGAGAACATAGAGGAACCACAGGAAACTGATGGTGAGCAGGCAGTTGACTTCACCGTTAAAGATGTACTTTGTTTTGCGTGGCAGATAGCAAAGGGAATGGTAATTGCTTGAATTTTAAAATTGTATCTTATATCAATTAGAGCCTAGAGGACAAACTTTAGTTCTTTATTATTCCAGCTTCGAGAGCCGAATTCTGTTTAACAATAAGTCACTTACGATTACCAAAGGCAAAATACGAAAATGTGTATGGAAAGGAAGTCAGTTAAAAGCGTGATTTGAAATACGCTTCCAATTCTACTCTGAACGACACTTATAACATGAGAAACGATGATGCGATAAATCTTTTACCAGGAATCAGTAGATTATGCGGTCGTAACAGTCTATTTTACTCAGCCATTATAGAGTTATGAAGTCATATTCTTGTTGTTTTGTTGATTCATACAGCTTTACAAGTGTTTTCATTTATGGCTAAGTTTCGCCGGTTTACCTTGAGAATATAATGACCTTCTGTGGTCCGTGCATGTGCTTTCCATAATTTTGATACAGGAGGGCACGTTAAGTCGTATGTCGGTTTCTTATTTGTAAATCACTCCAGTTCTATCTACGTGTATCTTGTGACCTGTTATGAGATACGGTCCAATTTTAATTTCGATGGAAAAATGGGAACGACTGAGTGAAGAAAGTGGGCGGGCAAGGAATTCATTCCCTCAACCACACCATGTAAGGATCATCTTCTTGGTCAACTGTGTTATGATTTCTTTGGCCGTCGTGATGCGCAAAATCAAAAGAAACAACAGGATAGAATTATGCACGGGCTACGAGGGTTTTTTTTTTTGTTTTTTGTTTTTTTTGCTGTATTTTATGAACAGGAATACTTGGCTGGCAAGGGATTTGTTCATCGTGATCTGGCCGCACGTAACATTCTTCTTGATGAAGACAGAGCTGTGAAGATTGCTGAATTTGGCCTGTTACGTCGATTTATTCTGAGTTCAATGTCTGACAAGAATATTTGGATTGGGGACCAGTCAGTATTTCACGCGAATTTTTTTAAGGGGGGGGGGAATAATATAAAGGGGGGAGGAAATAGATTATTACAGAGCCGTAAAGAAGGATGAGGTAAATTTTGTCTGGACGCAACCAAGATCCTCCATTAGGCAAATTTTTCTTCCCCTTTACTCTGTCGTCTTTCATTTTGATTTCTTGAACGTGTATCAAAGAAAATTGAAAATTATCCTGCAACTGCAAACACCTGAACTTCAAGACCAAAATTTCTCTTTTTACAACGAAAGGTATTAGCCTCAATCAAACATTTCACTGGCCTACAGTTCAGCATCATGACCATCTACATATTCTGTACAACTATCCTACAACTAGACTATTACTGGGAGATAGCAGCGATTATTTGAAAGACATGGCACCGACTGATCCAAGGCACTGACTGATGCAAAGTAACTTAATAAATAATAATAATACTACTACTAATAATAATAAATTTATTATTGAACTTATTACTTTTCGTCTCCTTTTTCGCAAGATTGTCTTTTGGTGTACTTTTGTGGGAATTATGCACAATGGGTGCGTAACGACTGATCCATTGTATCAAAAGTATGTTCCCTTCTTGACACTATAGATAGCAAACATTGTGCAGTCGAAAGAGAGATGTGTCAGCTTAGTTATGCTAAGTTACTGTTAGTTTCCCTAATCTTTATCGCTTCAAAAACAGCTTTATGCACGCGAGTAAAAGCCGAATCTAAAACCAAAGAAAAATTACTCTAAGAGTTTTTCGTCTACGGAACATACCTTAGACGCAGGATCCGAAGCTTGCCCTTTAACACCGAAAGAAGACTTTCTTGAAGAGCTTTTTTTTTTGCTTTTCTTTGTTTTTGTTTCGTTTTGTTTTCGTTCGGTTTTTCCAGTTTTTAATCCGTTACTGCTGCTAAAGATCAGGTTCTTACACAAAAAAAGAGGAGTGAAAACCGTACTAGGGAGATGTAAATTGTGCAGTTGAGATATCGTTACGTCAAGAGCGTCCTAAACTTATTCTTGTTTTTATAAAAATGATCTTTACTACTGTTCCGTCTTATAATCTAACTTGTTTTTAAGGTTGCATCCCCTACCCTGGAAAAAGCAACAGAGAGTTGTACAAACATCTTAAGTCAGGATATCGAATGGAGAACCCAGCCATTTGTTCTGATGAGCTGTACGTTCAACAATATTGTCCACTTGTCCAAACAACAACCTACTGATAGTTTTATTCTATACAACCTACCAAGAAAGGTCCTCTTAAGCTATTTCAACTGATTTAATCCTCTTTAATGTTATATGTGAAGTCTTGATACAATGTTCTGTTCCAGATACAGCTATAGAAAATGTTATTTAGTTATTAAGTTTTATGAGAAGAGTGAAAAATTATGTTGGAGGAAGTGAAAGACCAAATTCTATGCATGAAGACAAGTAGCTATTGAGTGATACAGACAGAGATGAATTAAAGAACGCCTTTTTAGTCAGAATTCTTTATTTCTTCAATTATATGCTTCTTTCTTCGTATATTGATTTATCACATTACAGAGTACAATGACAGTGATAAAAATAATAATAACTAGGTAGCGAGCATTTTTATTATGATATCATGATCATTTTGGCAACTATGTGGTCAAAATGTACAAGAAATGGTTCTTGACAAGTACCCATGACGGCGGTAGAAAGATATAACTTGGTAGCGAGCAACGATCTGGCCAAAACGCTAGCACAAGATGTGGATCTTATGAAGTTTATTTGAGAATATTTAGTGAAAGCACTCGGACCCTTTAACGTTGCTTAAGGGTCACAGGCGAAGTTTAATTGACTGCAATATATTATAATAATATAATAATAGTTTAATATTTGTAGTGCGCAAATACCATTTACATAGTCATCAGTGTTTTGACTACCAGTAAACGAGATAATACAAAAGTCACCAAGGAATTAATCCTTCTATTATTAATCAGAATACTTAATATCTTATCAGATACGAGTTGATGTTAGACTGTTGGAAGGCAGACCCAGAGGAGAGACAATCGTTTGAACTGCTGATAACAAGAATGGAACCAATGATGACAAGGGACAATCCTTACTTCGATCCGAATATAGACTACGAAAGCGATGCCTCCAACCCTGAGACAAAAACTGAAAATGACTGACTACTTGAGTGATTAGTGTTTAGATTAAAAGGTTTTCAATGGAACGATTGTTGTGCTTTAACGTTATTCGATGGTTTGCGAAAGTAGTAACAAGGTAACTCACTATTATTCAATGAATTGAATTTATTGGTACAAACTGCAGTTTCATTAGTCGTTTGATTTTCCTAACTTAAAAAACGTTCGGAAAAAGTTGCAGGATAATAATAAAAAAATTCCACAGAAAAGAAATGTAGAAGTGATATTGATCCCTGCTTGTATAAAGTGTACGACAGTGATGGTTAAAATTATAGAAACATATGTTAATAGAAATTACCAAGAAATTATCATGTGAAGGTGTAGTCTGATCGTCCGGGTGAGTGTAGTCCTGAGAAGGACTGTTGTCGGTGGCAGTGACTGACGTTTCGACAACCTGTGCGGAAGTCATCATCAGAGTCAAGTGAGTGATTGTTGTCAGTGTAGTCAAGTGAGTGATTGTTGTGAGTGTAGTCCTTCTCAGGACTACACTCACCCGGACGATCAGACTACACCTTCACATGTTACCCCCGGGTTCAAACCATTTACTGCAAGAAATTATCAGTTAATTGTAGGATCATTGGTCATTTTAAAGCTGACCTTCGTTTACGTCCACGGTGTCCGTGGATTGCTTTAGAGATTAAAAAAAAAACAACGAAAAACAGTTAACAACATGTTTAACTTAGGGGATAAGAGGAAAATGGATACAGTGCATTTAGAGACTTGCTGGCTTAATGCAATGTTTCAAGAGACAGTGTGTACCTGAAAGTAATGGTCGCAACAGATTATATTCTTTGCATAGCAATCACCACTTTCATAAATGGCTGCCGGATTAATATTCTTTTGTTTAAATTTACATTAACCCTTCTGACCTCGTTCTCCAGTACAAAATTCGAAAGAATACATTATCTTAAGCGAGGCCGGAAGGGCTAATTTAAATTTAAACAAAAGAATATTAATCCGGCAGCCATTTATGAAAGTGGTGTATGTATGTCTTTAACCTTAAGAATTACAAGTGATAACAAATATTTCAAGCATCAAAGACTTACCTGTACTGGAGATGTTACCAGAGTAGTTAACCTTAGAAATTAGTTTGTGTTTTAAAATTTAATAAAATAAACCAATGTTTGAAGATGAAGTGTTTTCCTTCTAACAAAATTCCCGTGGATTTGACCACAATCATTGCACATTAAGTAACTTTCCAGGTCTTTTCTAAGAGTGACTGGCTTGTAATTTATCCTCACAGTGTTAATCTTAAATCAAAATAATGTAAAGAGAATGAGAATTTAGGAAAATGATCACCAATCTAGGACGTTCCTGAATGTCAAAAAAATTCTCCTTATCATTACCAAAGGATATTAATTTATAAAAAAAAACAGACTGTGGAAAGTATGATTCCAGTGTTCAAGTGTAAAGAGATTAAGAGGAACAACAAGATAAGATAACAAACTATCCCTTTTATTCTTCACCAGTAAAGATGGCACTATATACAATACTTACTGACTAACAACAACCAACAACCTGGAGAGCTAGAAAATTGAAAACTTTAGAGAGACTTCTACTAACTGAACTGCTAAAATTATCAACTGCAATGACTACCTGAAATCTAAAGAAAAGATATCGAAATCAAGCAAAATTACCTCATGTCTCACTTTACTTAGGGTGACAAATTATCCAAGGATTCTGGGCACAGAAAAGGTGAACTCATCACCAGGAAAGGGACTTGTTAGGAAAGGAGATTTGCACTCAATTCTACAATTCTACCACAGCACCCTCTGACTGAACTCTCAAGACCTCCAGCTAATAAACTTTCCATGAATTCTCTAGACATAACTCTACATCTACCGGTAAGTAACAAAGAACAAGACTACTAAGGATACTCTTTGGAAACAATGGGGCACCAAGAATGAACACATAAATGCCCCACTCCTAGGAGACGGTGGGGCATCCTGGATAAACATGTTCACGTACCACCCTTCAGACAGTAGGTATCAATAATAAACATATACATACACATGTATACATGCACCACATCTGGGAGACTTTGAGGACTGACAAAAGTAAGAATATGGAACAATTGGCATCTGCACCACATAATTATGTAAAGTTCACCATACCCTATTCCTCGCCTATATTAGTCCCCTGAAAGTACATTAAATTGAACCATACATGTATTATGAAAGAACATTTACTGATGCAGTGTGCATCAGTTGCCATACAACATGCTATTGCAAAAAATTCAATACAACTTCATTTCTGTAGGAAAGTAGTAAGAGAAGATATAATCACTATAGCTAGCATTTTGATAATGTTATACTTCTACAGTAACTGTACATATCAATTATAATGTGGCTGAACTATCATAAAAATATCTTGTGTAAAAGACATCATGCACTCTTTAAGAGAAATCACAGGCATTAATTAACTTTTCATCCTTCATGTTTAGGTGGAGTGTACCAGCCTGGGGGAAGAGAAAACATTGTCAGCAGTAATTGTTTGGAGCTGATAAATAATAACATTTAAATAAGCCAATATGACAAAGTGATCATTCAAAATTAATAGTTTTACCTCCAAATTTTCAAGATCTTATTTTAACAAGTCTCTTTTCAAGGTGTGAGAAACTTTTGGGTGAATTGGTTATGAGAACTTACCATTAAAGGAAAACAAATAATAGCTAGTGACTCCTGGCATTAATTCAATATCACTTGAATGCATTATTTTTTAAAGCAAGAGGTGACCTCTTACAATACCTTATCTAATAGATAATTTATACATGTAAGTCCTATCTCTTACCATTTTTCTCATGGATCTGAACCAAAGACCTAAAAGATTGTTGAGCTCGAACTAGACTGTAAACACCTGGCTGTTAATAAAAGACACAACAAATTGTGGTTTCCCTCAATGACATAAACGTATCCATCTATCCCCATTTGTGCACATAATAAGAAATAAGCTTAGAGAAAAAGACACATTTAAAAGAGGCCATGTACAAAAAAAACTGGGAGAAACTAACAGTTAAAACACTTAGATTTATCTCCTTTCTACATGTAGTTCATTCTTATTAAATTATATCTATCATTCTACTTACTAATTAAAATTAGTATTGATTCGCTTTTATTCAAATAGTTTACAAACCCATAATTATAGCACAATATTACATGTTTGTTGCAATTTGATTAATTTATTTCTTGCAAAGTATAAATTCAAATTGCAACAGAAGCATTTGCAATTGAAGATGACATGAGTAATGTTCAATCATGTTTTGCAACCTTAATTTTTTTTTAATCGAAATAATTAAACTAAGAATCAGTGACCCACCTTTTTGTTTTCTTGAAAGTTTATCCTAGCTTTTCCTTTCACTAATGTAGCAGCTATTTGCATTATAACAGCCTCAACAGTGTATGCACTACTCCAGCCCTGTAACAGGCACAAAAAAACTGATCTTGTCAATGTGTAATGCTATACATGTACAGTACATGCTACTTATTTGATGGTTTGACATGTAAAATGCACAGAAATTTTTAGGGCAATGGAATATAAGAGATACATGTCCACCCATATTATTTATACTAAACCATCAAATAAATAATTTGTACTAAAAAAAGAATAAATTTAGCTTCTAGTTTCAGAAATACATTGCACAGCCTTATCTGAGCAGCGTATTGACCCCATAAGGTGTAAAATGTAAATTAAAGATGAAGATGATGCAAGCGAAACCACTGAAGTACATTTTAGGGCTAAGAAAAAAATTTGATAAGCTTAAGAATTCATTGCACCCTTTTGAATACACCTTACCCTATTCCTTAACTAATAATATACATGAAAAAATAACTCAGTTCTGATTGGTTAAGATAAATGCAGTTTCCAGGTAATTCAGTGCAGAAGAGAGTTAATTCAGTGCAGAAGAGGGTTAATTCAGTGCAAAGAAAGTAACAAACCAAACATTCTGATTGGTCAATAATCAAAGAAACTCACAGAGTTACCAAACTCCCTGAATAATTCCTTGAACTGTTTGGCTGGACTTTGAACTTTTTTGCGCCTTAACGATGTGAAAATTTCATTTTATCTTTAAGTTATTGTTTTGATTGTGTGTGGTTGTTTTGACCAAACGCACAGTGTCACTTGCAGGGTTTGAATAAATTATTTTTGCACATGATGCACATGCTTTTCTTCTGCATAATTGTGACAAGCTAGCTCATATTTTTTCATGTATATTATTAATACATAATCACATGATTTTTCTTGTGCAACTTGGAATAAATAAGCACTTGTAAGTTTTTTCAAAGACCACAAATTGCACTCGCCCTATGGGATCATGCAATTTTGTTAGTCTTTGAAAAAATTTACTCGTGCTTATTTATTCCAAATGGCAGAAGATGGCAGAAGCAGGAAAGATCAGCGAGGAGGTGAGGAGACAGAGATGGAACTGGATTGGGCACATAATGAGGAAGGAGAGGACTCCAGAGGGAAGAAGAAAAAGAGGCCAACCGAAAACAACATGGTGGCAAATGGTGGAAAAGGAGAGAAACAGTGCAGGCTGGAAAACATGGAGTGCTGTATACTATGCAGCTGCAGACAGAACACAGTGGAGGAGAGATGTTCAAGCCTTATGTGCCTCATGGCAAAGAGAGATTTAAGGTTAAGGTATCTATTCCAAATTGCACACAAAATTATGTGATTACCTATACTAAACATATTAGAGAGGTTTGTCTGTATATATAAGTACAGTGTATACAGTATATACAGACACCTGTCATTGTACGTACAACATTTAGTTTAGTGGTCATTGTTAACTCTTATAAATATTATCACATAATGAACATAGTACACATTTTCTGATCCTTCAATCCAGTTTCAAAATGGATTCTTTACCAGGTTATAGAGCCCAAAGAGCTTATAAGTTATGTATAAAACAATAGCCTTCTGCTCTGGGTTAAACATAAACTATCCTCATGTTCTCCCAACATCCCACTTGGCTTTGTCACATTATAGAGCCTGGGAAAATGTGTTCTATTGCTTCACTTCCAGTTAATTTACTACATGTACAATTATATTGGTGGGGAGAATATACATCCTAAAATATGCCATTAAATCAACAACAATTATTTGCTAAAATTTTATAATAAAAGGTACTGCTACTAAAACATGATATTTCAGGACAACATGTCACCATTATTAATAAATGTAAATTATTGGTTCAGTTACATTATATAAAGAAAGGCAAGTGTGAAACTAAATTAGAATAAAATGAGATGGAGTATGTAGAACAAAAGAATGTACACACACTATGTGTTATCAAAAATTATTTGCTAAAATGCAATCATCATCATGCTAAAATACAAACCTGAGGTGTTAGTAATTCCATGCAAAGAGCTCCCCCACTGAGGACATAACTGGTGAAAGAAGATTATTTGTACACTAAATATTTATTTAGTAAGCTCTTGGGAGCAGCAACCTGGCCAGTAGAGCCATCTGTTCAAAAGTGGATCTTATTAACCCTTTACAACCTAACATCGGTATCCATAACCTCAATACTCTTCTCTACATGTTTCTTTTAATACTGTCAAGGAGAATTCATTGGACAATAAAAGCTTCTTAGTTTGGTGATCATTTCCCATATTCTCAAGATCTTAGTGAATGGTTCAGTACTTACTATAAGGAGAAATTAGATGTTAACCTCTCTTGCAGTAGAAAGGGTTAAAGAACACATTTGGGCTGCATTGGCAGGCATTAAATAACAAGACTCAAACTAATTTCCCTTTATAAATTATTGAATAAATCCCTTTCCCCCCTTTGTAAAAAAGGATTTTTACCAGGCTGTTATTACAAATGCGACATCAGACTTAATGGGGGAAAAGAGATACAGCCATGTTTAAAACCTGAACTAAGCGCTGAATGAATAGGAGAAGAAGTAATTTCTTAGATATCAATTTCAAGATAAAAATTAGCAATAAAGAGAGCACAACATTTCAACCTCTCTGAGGTCATTCTCAAAATGACCTCACAGAGGTCGAGGCATCATGCTTCTTTATTGCTAATTTTTATTTTGAAATGAATAGGATACATGGATCCAAAAAAAAAAAAATGTACATGTAAAAACACTATTTCTCTTAAAAGAATATTTTCTTCCATATTGAACTTACCCTGCTGTTAATACTGGATACACAACTCTGACAAATGGGGGATCAAATGGAAATTTATCCTGAAAAAAAGCAATTGGTAACATGAACTTCAAATCTTTTAAAGTGAAGGCTGTTAATAGACAGAATATAAAAATGCCAAAGCTACAGTATACTACATCCCTACAAAGGTTCATAAAAGATAGCCACAGGAAAGACAAACAAGACTGGACACCCACAAGATTTGTTGCTAAATATCAAATATAACTGAAAGTGCATTTGGCACAAATTCTGTCAAACTAAGTCTTTACTGTCCTACATGCACATTCTGACCTACATAATTTGTGAGAAACTTGCAACACTTTCGATCATTTGCTTGAATTTATGTATTTTACCTCTCCTGCAAGAGTTGCTCAACAAAAAAAGATCTGTCCAGCCCTTAAATAGTTGATGCTTAAAAAGCTAAGTCTAAAAAACACAAGTTTATATTGTTCAGTGCAGCCACTTTCTTGCTCTGCTTTCCATCCATATTTCTGCCCTGTTCTGTTGTGTAATACTATCACATACATGTAATGTTTTTTGAATTTGCAGAGCTTCAGATATCCACAAGATTGATAATATTCCAAAAATACATTTCTACATTACTTACTGTAAATGTCATGTTTAGCAACACATGATCTGTACCCTCTTGACCTCTAAGCTGCATCAGGTCTTTGTGTAATGTACTGTCTGGGTCAACCCTACATTGAAAACAATTCGTTAGTCACTCAGTTATGTAATGGTTAAATTAGTTCTTGATACTGTCATTTCACACTGCAGCACTGTAGTTTGATTTTCACTTCATTTCTTTTGTCTTATAATAATTAATACTAACAATTTGTCAGGCACTGTGACACATTTTGCTTGCTAAAATAGAGATTTTTCTAAGCTGCATGTAAAATGTCTTTTAACCCGTGTGACTGTTCAGATAATTTTGATATAATTTTTTTCAAGTTTAATTTTCTCAATGCCCAACTGTAAAGTGATAACCTATAATAGAGTTATAATAGAGTTCATGTTCTTAGGCATTAACCTGGGCCTTGGGCCTCTCTCAGAGTAATTTTGACACTCTTCTAGCTAGCAGCTTGGGCTAAAAGGCCGGACTCCGAGTCAGGCCCAAAACATTTCTGCCGCAAATGTAAACTCTATTGTTTTATCACCATAGTCTAAAAATAAATTGAAACCAGTTTCAATGTTTATTTTCTTTTCCTAAAATAACTGGTTTCAATTGAAAACATTTTTATAAAAAGGAAAAATTGAAACACATGTCCATGATCAATAATGTCTTACATATCTCGCAAAATAAATTATTGAGTGTACACACCTTATAATTTTTATTGTCCAGTCATATAAGTTGTCATTATTGAGGCATACAGAATATGTCCCTTGAAGAAAAAAAGCAATTTTGAATAAAAATTAAATGTACCCCAACATGCAAAGGTAGTAAACAACTTTTCATCCTGTAAGTTTCTCTCAAACGTACTGCACAAATTAACGTACTTGTAACCTGTATACAAGTACAATTAACACATCCCCATTTAAAAATGTACTTCACCATTTTAAAATGTACTTGACATTTCAGGTATCTTAGTTCCTGAATGAGCCAATCAGATCTCAAATGCATTTTTAATGAGTTCTCTGGGAACTAAGTTCCTGTGTCAACCAATCAGATTTGGTTTGTAATATGGACTTTGCTCTTTAGGAACTAAGTTCCTCAACAAACCAATGACATGGAAGAATACATGACGTGACATTTCTAAATTAAGATTCGCCTGTTTAATTTATGTCAACACTAAATAGAGCGGACAACAATGTTACACTTTGGAAATGAGTCGAATACACGATGGTCTACACGGCAACGAAAAGGCATCTGATACATGTGTTAAGACATTTTTTACGGNCATAGTTAGTAGAGGGGACTGGTTAGGAAACGCGGCAAACTTCAGTCGGATAGGTTATTGTTCGATTTTATCGAGATCACGTGACAATGACCCTGCACACATAAATCCAAAATGGCGCCGTAGGCTTGTTTCGACAGTCACGTAGCGTTTAATTTTTTGGATTTTCTCCGTGATCGAGCGACATCGTACCTTCAAAATATAGCTAAAAGCATTAATCAAGTCAGTGTACATAATGCCAGGTGAAAATTGTTCAGTATTTGGCTGTGGAACGTGTAGGAGAAGTAAAGGAATTGGAATCTGGAAGCTACCGGCGCCGCGAAACGCAGAGTACAAGAAGTGGCGAGAAGACTGGCTCAACGAGCTCACTAAAACTAGAGTTGTTGATGCTAACTTCCGCCAACTGATAGAAAAAGACAGGGTGTTTACCTGTGAGAAGCACTTTAAGCCCGAAGACATAGAGAAATGTAAGTAAACACACTGTATGGTTCAGTAGTGGGACTTAGCTTAGTAGGCTAAGCGAAGGCTCGCGACTGTTTGTTGATAATGTGTGCGTCTCTAACTCTTTATATACAGCCTTTCTCTTTAATGATAACTTATGTTTTTGTATTTTTCAGTTGAAACCGAGAAGATGCTCAAGACTAAGCCTAGATTTGGCGCTATACCTACTTTAAATATGCCTAAGAAGTCGCATCAAACTGAACCAGTGAAGACACGAGCTGCAAGATCGGTAGTCAAAGATGTCGCTCCTGAACAAAATGCCAAGTATTATAAAAGCTTCAAAGACTTGGTATCAAGACTAAAGGCCTTGAAATCCATTAAAGATTGGACTCTAGAAGAACTGAGCGATAGGATTGTGCTAAAGAAAGTCACGACTGCTCTACTACCTGAACTTCAGATAATGATCGATGACAGCTTGGGCTTCACTATCTCTGTGTCTGGATGGCTACTGCCTGACGATCATGGACTTTATATGAAAGCGTTGAGATCTGTAAGGAATATTATAGTATCTGAACTTGTTAAGAGTACAGAAGTGTTGTTTGTTTGCCCTGGTGTTAAGCCAACTGCTTCTTTCAGTGAGTTAACACACCATGTTATTTCAAAGCCAAGTGATTCCTTGTTTGATTCTGATGATGGCGAAGATTCATTCCCACGCAAAGAGTTTTGGAGAACTTGTAATTGTTCTGTTTTGTGCAAAACAGACGATCAGTGCCCAAGCTGTAGTAGTTTTCAACATAAGCAAACACTTTCTGACAATGCAAAATGCCGCAAACTAGCTGAACCAGCACATCTGTTTGCACCTGTTTCAAAAACATCTCCTCAAAGAATTAAGGCGACATTACAACTTCAAAAGACTTAAATGTGCTGAACTTGAAAAGCAGCTTTACAACATGAGATGTGAAATCCAGAAATCCAGTCTTAAAGTTGATGATGAACTGAGTAGGGACATAACTTCGATACTCAGCAATTCAAGTGAGAATATCCCTCCATTTATGAATCTCTTTTGGGAGGAACAAAAAAAGATCTTATCTGCCAGTACCACTGGAGTGAAGTATCATCCTATGATAGTTCGCTTTTGTTTATCACTTGCTGCAAAATCCCCTTCTTGTTACGAGGAATTGCGCAAGAGTAATATCTTAAGGCTGCCAAGCCAAAGAACACTAAGAGACTATAGGAACTGTATTCGCCCATGCACTGGATTCCATGAGGATGTCATTGAGGAGCTAATTGTACAGTCACAGAGCTATTTTGATGTCCAAAGATATGTGGTGTTGCTCTTTCACGAAATGAAGATCACCTCAAACCTGGCTTTTGACAAATTCACTGGAGAATTAATTGGGTATGTCGATCTCGGAGATCCTGATGTCAACTTTGCAAGCCTAGAAAAAGCTGATAACCTTGCCAGCCATGCATTAGTTTTTATGGTACGAGGTGTGTCCACCGAGCTCAAATTCAGTTTAGCTTATTTTGCTACGGATGGTATCACATCATAATATCACTCCATTTATGAATCTCTTTTGGCAGGAACAAAAAAAGATCTTATCTGCCAGTACCACTGGAGTGAAGTATCATCCTATGATAGTTCGCTTTTGTTGTATGTGCTGTGGGACTGTAAACATTGTTCACCTTGCTATAAAGCTTGTGCAGTACATATCCTCCAATATATGGTAACCCTGCCATTTCTCTATCACACAGTTTAGTGGGGGTATTGGGATTTGGTGATTCACCTTTCTGTTTGCTGTGAGCTATCAAACACTCAGCCACTTTGGTACTAAGCAATATTGCCGCATTACTTGACAACCCCACAAAAATCTTTGTTGAATTGAGGCCTATTCTTGAATAGTACTTCGAGTAGAATTGTTCTGCATTTCCAGTTTTAACCAAACGCATATACAAGGATTCTACTTTTGAGAAGTCCATATTTTCTTGATTCCAGGCAATCGTTTATCTTCGTAGCTCTTCTCTTACGCTTTGAGGGTAGATTTTTCTTTCAATTATTTCATCTCGTGCTTTCACTGATAACGCTTCGAAGTCTTCAGCAGTGAATTTGGCTTCTTGAGTCGGTTGATTTCCCCACACTTGTTCCTCCTTATGCTTTACTGTCTTATGTCTTTTTAATCCAGCCTTAGTCTTGCATTTCTTTTGGCACAACTCGCAAAAATTCCCTCTTCGTATTGAACCTCAAAATCGAAAGACTTTCAGTAAAAAAATGTTGTACTACGACCGATGCCATTGCTAAGGGCATCAATAACTACAAAGTTTTTGGGCGAAAATAACGTTTTAAAGGCTTCTCAAATACTTAGAGAGTCAGCTGCTTCGACAAAGTGCTGTTGTAATTCTTCCTCGTTTTCCAAAGTTCCAATATGGCATTAAATTCGTCGCCGAAGAAAAATAAGTCGTTCATGTCCGCCATGTTGTTTTGGTTCTGTGCAGGGTCATTGGTCACGTGACGTTCAATCGAAGCTCAGGGGACAGACAATAGGCTGGCCCTTTGAAGCTTACTGCGTTTCCTAACCAGTCCCCTCTACTAACTATGGTCATTTAGTACTTTTGTTCCAAAAATAAATAAATCATATACAATTAATAAATGAAGTAGTGGGATTTCACGTTATCAATTTTGTCAAGACAAAAAATAAAAACACACCTGTTTTGAAACTCTCAGATCTGTACACATCTCTAAGTTCTTTCATTAATCTGTCAGTAGCTTGGATAGATCCACTCACTGTCCCCTGGATAAAGTTGAGAACAAAATATTTAAACACATAGTCCTGACTTTGGACAAAATACTAAATGATTTACCAATAATTTTAAAGGGAAATTCACCACTTGACGAGGGAATTCCACACTAAATTGCATACGAAAACCAATATTGCACAAATCCCAAAGCGATGAGTGCAATATTGGTTTTCAAGTGCAATTTAACCCAGAATTCATGAGTCAAGTAATGGATTTTCCTCGAATCGCTTAATAATTGAATAAAAACAAGGAAAAAAAACCAGCGTTACTAATAGTTGTTAAGAATATGTAGATGAGAAACAATAACACTTAGCCTTGTTTTCAACTCACAATTCCATGCTAAATACCTTGCTTCATTAACCAATCAAAATACACGATTTTATTCAATGATGCAATTCCCTATTACATAGTTTTGCTGCCAATTCAATGATATGTATGTACCACTTAAAGATAGTAAAATAAATATCATTTTATAAGGTCATTCATTTCCAAGCAAATCCCACTTCTAACCCAGTAGTAATTATTTGTGTAAAGTTTTTTCAGACAGGTAAAACTAAACCATGTTTGCTTGAGATCTGAATATAATTATATTATCATTCCCCAATAACACCAACCTTGAGGTGGTCTTCCCTTCTATTCACTCGTATCCTCTCCAATACTGCATAATTTGCTGCCCCAATATCCTGAAGTTCTTTGTTAGAGTCTTGTCTACACAAAAAGAGAGGAACATTATACCATATACATGTGATAAACATTTATCATAAATGATTATTGCACAGTCCTGCTTTGTCATAAAATTTGAAAAATAAAAATTACAAGAAAAAAAAAAGTCAAACCACATCCAGTACATGATGAGTGTACTGCACACAACTTACTCTGTATCTTCTTCCATTTCATAATTATCAGAATCCTCACTATCATCATGACCCTGATCCAAATAAAAAAAAAATCCCTTAAAGAAAGTTTTCTCAAAATTGTTTATTAAATTCACCTCCCTTATTTCAAAAGCATAGTCTTGCAAATAAATGGTCACTACAGACCTCATTTTTGAGATTCTTAAGAGCTTTGAAACATCATAAATTATTTTCTCAAATAAGCACTTGGGCACTTAAATGTAGTTAAAATTTCAGCTAAAAGAAAGGGCATTTATTGGAAGGAGGGCACTTGATTGAGGGGGTCACTAATTACGTTTTCCTTTCCACAAATTGTAACTTTATTTAAGCTAACCCTTGCAAAACTTAGACAAAAACAAAAATTCCATTATCCATATTCACAAACTGGCAAAGTTTCATGGAAATCAGAGAGATGGCATGTAGCATGACTGCATGGTTCTCTCATAGACAGTCTCGTTCTTAATGTTATTTTTTTTCTGACCATACTTTCTCCATTTCTGGAACTTTTGGACTTTTCAAGTATCTGAAACTATATACCAATCCTATGTATAAGCTTTTTTTTTAATTTTCTAATGATGAACAATATTTTCATCATAAATTTCTGTTTTTGAAGATTGTGCCAAAGATCCCAGGAAAGAAAAGTGATTCCAGTCCACTCTACCAAAGTAGCAGACCTTTTGCACTTGTGTATATGCAAGTCCATAATTTAACAACAATATTTTGTACCTCTTCTAAACCTTCATCCTCACTTTCCTCATCTTCTTGAGAGGTTGTTGACTCTTTTACCTCAACATCTTCCTGAAAAATCCAAACACAAGTTGATTTGGACAGAAAAGCACATTCAACACTTCGTTATCATCCAAAATAACAAGATTTTGTCAAAAAAACACCATCCATTTAAACCCAAGTTAAGAGCATAAAAGAAAAATCTTACTAAACAAGCCAATTTTCAAAATGTACAGACAAGACAGAAATGTATCTTAGGCATCTCAAGTACAACTTTACGTGACTGTTCAGTAGATGTTAAAAAAACTACAAGTACATGTAATGCTCTCTTAAAAATACATCAGCATTGATTGTCATGGTGTTTGTTTTATACAGTATAAAACTGTACGACATTACCATTAGGACCAGCACTGGTACTGGTTAAAAATTCTTGAGAAAGTTCACCACAAAAACATTTCTCTACATAATTTTTGATGTAAGTAGTTTAGAAGACAGAGGAAATCCCAAGCTGCATTACACTGCAGAATCGTACTGTAGCATCGCATGGCAGTGTCACACAAGGGTAAAGAAATCCAAGATGTAAACAAGAAACAAATTTCACGCATGCTAATTAGCGACCACCGAACGCTCTCATAACTATTATTTCCAAATGAACGCTGAGTTTTTTGTTTATTCACCACGCCTTTAGAGGATAATTTATCTGTATTAACGATTGTAAAATCTTGTTTTTCTCCATAGATATTATTAGCGCACATTTTCACTTCCGGTTAAGACCCTCTGAACATACAACCCTTTAAAAATTTGACGTAACCACAGGAAAACCATGCGATGTCTCGACATGATTGCAACTAATTAAAAACTGAAAGAAAAATTCTGTTCTAGTTTGTTTAAAAGGTGAAAGGAAGAGATATCCCTTATCTTTAAGCCAAACGACTGTAAAGTAAGTGAACACCAACTGAATGAACTTACGTGTATGAGCTGTACAAGATCTAGGTTGTCTATGTGTGATGGTATAGGAAGGTCTTGCCATTTATACAACTCCTTCGCCAAGTATTTTGTTGAGCGAAGAAGCTGAGAGATAAAAAAAAGACAACATTAGTTGACGTAAAGCCGATCTTCAAAGTAACGCAGGCAAGATTCCAACGGAATGAAAGAACACGTAAACTCATCTCACCAAATTGGGCGCTGAAGGCTCAATACTACTCAAGAATTCGAGTATCTGAGTGATTTTCGCATCTTCGCTTTCAGCAAACCACATCGGGGGTGGGTTAGGATAGGATTCCTGTTGAACCAACGGTATAAACACAATTAGAGCAGCTTTAACATCCTCTTGAAAGGATGTAATATTTTTTCAATCATAGCATTTAATCAAAGATTACTCACAAAGATATTGCAGTGGACTACATGTTCGCCATTTGTTGCGAGGAATCGGCACGTCACTTCGTCCAAACCGTTGGCTTCAACCCGGAAATGCTCGTGCCGTGGGCCAAAGGTTTTTTCCAGGATACTAAGCTCCCGCTTAAGCTCTTGAAACTTTGACATTTGCCTTGCTCAGGCAATAGCGAGAGCTATCTCCAGCTAAAAACAGTTTCCATTAACAAACAAGATAGTCCGTGAATGAAATTTCGCGAATTTCGCGTCTTTACCAAGTGTTTTGAACCGCTGACCAGATCGAACATGGAATGGGTGATTGGGTGAAGAGACGGGGGGAGGGGGTGAGTTGAAGGTTGTTATGATCGAAAAGGAGGTGTTGTTGTCAATATTTTCTTTTTCTTTTTTTCTTTTTGCTGAGGAGTTTTTTTTCTTTTAAATCAGGAGTTCCATGATACTTTCTTTTTTCTGGCCGAGAGCTTGTGTGTCGTCTCAAATTTGTCCTCGCAAGATCAAGCCCTAAGAAACTGACTTTGCTACAGGTTGGACACTCACTCACGCAGTGTTTTAGGGAAGTGAACAGAAGACTAGAAGGCTATGCTCTTGGTATGGACGATTAGTAAAACATTAATTCGTGTAAATCACACCCCATTCTAGACAAGAACAAATTAACCCGGCCTTTATTTGTTTATTCTTATCTTAAAAAAGTAATAATTATACTTTGGTGAGACGCAAATCACTGTGACTAAACTAGAATTAAAAGCCAAATTGAAAACAAGAAAGAGATTTTATTGCTAGCCGGAATTAATATATTCTAAGGTGTGCTCTGATTGGCTAATCAAACTCTGAATATCCTTTGCTATTGATCTCCGAGCAACGCGCGCGAGATTTGCGCCCGACAATATCGTAATCGTCGTAGGAATAAATGAGCTAAATACATCTTTTTGTGCTTCATTATCTCACTGTTTTAATATATACTAAAACAACTATTCACCTCGGTGTGGGTGGCTAGATAAAGCGATGAGTATTTTTCCTCTCCGCTTCTTCGCGGTTCGTTTAATATTCACCACCAGCTACCGCCCACTTCGGTGAATAGTTGTTAATCAACAACTGACACATTCAGCCCAGTCGAACAATTGAGAATTTCTAAGACTATTAGCAGATTTATGTTTTTCCCAATCGTGACAATGACTTCAGTTGAAGCTTGTTGTTTGTCGTGGCATATGAACAACTAGATGGACATGGTCTGCAATCCCACCTACGTAAATTGTTATACTTTCATAGTGCGCGTAATGATGATTCGATTGATTTCGACCAAAAATGTGCCAGGTATCTGCGCTAGTTGGTAAACTCTAGGCGTCTCCATGGAAATCCCCTTGAATCCGCGGTATTTCTTAATTTCATAGAAGGAAAAACGCACAATGAAAGTTGCTGCGCACAAACGCGAGTAGACATTAACGGTTATATCTCTGAGTCCGAACAGGACAATATTTTCCCTTGCTCTCAGTTAGTACGTGTGCTACTATTGCTTAATTCAGCGGACCACATTTCACTGTACAGCCCACTAAATTCAAAATTATATTTGAATTGAAATTTTGATCCTCTTTTTGACCCCAGAGATATCCAAAACATCTTACTGATCTTGTTTTCTCGGTCCGTTTTGTAAGTTACGGAACTTCGTTTTTTCTGAGAGGTGAGAAGCATGGACAAGTCATCCGTAACGCGGATCTCAATCAGAATAGATGGTATGACAAATAAATCTCATTCTACAAGATTTTATTCAGTAAAAAGTGAGTAAACAAGCATAATCTATAAAAAGAGGCGTCAAGAGTAGAGCCTAACATCGCTCACATAACATCCTTTCACAGTTCAAGTCATTGTAATTCTCTCGAGGCTGAAGGCAAAATACCATGAAATAAGCAAAGAGTATTAGTATTACTATCTGTTTGACAATTATCTGTTTTACATATCAATCGTATAAATACTTGAGCCTAATAATTAAAAGTGCATAAAGCAGTTTTCAATGAAACGTCGAAATACCAAAACCAAAGCAGTCCCAGCGACCAATCAGAACAAAGGCTTACATGATCAATATCCTTAGCCAATGAGAACTGAAAGTGAAAACAAGCAAACTATTTGAAGCGCGGAAAAAACGCCGATGACAAAGTCCCGACTGTTTTTAGCTTGGAAGCTGATTGGTCGAGAGGAAGGCACGAGTTTTCTAAATCAGTCAAAGTGCAAAGTGCGTAGTGTAGCTAAGGGGGGTCTGTATTGACTGAGACCTTCCCCCGTCTTTGTGTGATAATTTTGTTCAGCCATATAAAAGTTTTAAACATGCCGGTTTACGTAGGCCGAAGAAAATCTGTGGCATAAATATTTTTAAGTGCTAGAACCTCCATTTGTCAGTTATTTGCCGTCCACGCGTAAATACGAGCCCCTTAATACACAAAGAGAGGCAGCGGTAGAAGCCACTTTATGTATGGGGCGCAGAGATTCGTAATTATAACCCCACCCCCTACCAGCCCCTCTCCCGAAAAAAACCGAGCCTCACCTACCCTGCTGACCAGTGTCTGTAGACAAGAAGAAACTTAAGATATTGCAAATTATTAAGAGAACATGTCATCTTGAACCTACTTATGATCAGCTAGTATCGCAACTACACTTGAGCAGTTTCAATCACTATAAAAGATTTATGCCATAGGGCTTGCTTGCTGGTATGCTAGTACTAAAACTCTACCATAAACTTATGTCTAGAGATAGGACAAAATATGCATACTAGGCCATAAAAATTACAAGATCGTTACTCTTTATACCTGATTCTCCCATGCAAACAAGTAATTATCACCAAAGAAGTTCTAATTGACTCATTAATCATTAGACACAAAATGTACTGCACAACAGTAGTCTAAAAAATAGGCATTGGATCCTAAAATCTCGAACTTTCCACGTGCCAAAACCTCCTCTGTAACTGCGCCATTTTTTAATTCTTTGTTGCTCTTCATGGACGCACGAAACTATATGGCATTAAAAAGAATGCCAACAAAAACAACCATAAATAAAACGATTAAAGAGGAGAATCTAGAATAATTCAGGTAAAGTATGCGTTCACAACCTTTAAAACGACTTCCATATTATCGCGTTTTCTCCTCGAAGCGAGCGAGATAATAGTTTGTGCGCCTTGAAAACGTTCACCAAAATTTTCCACTTTCTTAAATTACGTTTAATTCTGATTTTCAAGTGCAGTATGTGTTCACAACCTTCAAAAATATTTTTTTCCAATCTCGCACACTCTCCAAGGCCGGAGGTCACTGTAAATGTTTCTGTTCCCTGAAAGCTTATGCCTGAATTCTTCAATTTCTTTGTTCACAATTCATTTAGATCTTCTCCATTCTCAGTTTTATGTTTGGTCCTTCCTAATTTATCATTAGTTCCTTTTGGGGTTTTCGAATTTACGAGTAAATATTTTGTGGCTTTCTGTTTTAGAGACGCAAAATGAATTATGCCATTATAGAGTAGCTAAATATTTTCTTTCTGAAGAAAAGGAGACAAGGCCAAAGTAACCCGTTGGGTTGAGAAAAAAAGACGTCCAAAATAATGCGCAGTTACGCATGTAACACTTCGAATAAAAAGGACAAAGATTCAAGGTAACTCAATGGATGGAAAGTGATCGGAGAATTTCCGATTGTGTTTGACAGACTTTTTGCTGGAGTTCTTGTTGTTGTTCAGGTACATGCACATGAAAAGTTCGATCATTTTCTGTGGACCTCATTGCAACTAAATATAAGCAGATATATAATATCTAACGTACACCTCAACCAGTTCATGTAAACCGGTAAGACAGACTTGTTTCTCGACAGATGATCCTTTAATGTGATCCAGAAATCTCTGGCTGCGATCGGATTTTCAAGAAAGAGATCGTGGGAACAAATTGGGGTTTGTTAATGACAAAATAAGTATCAATTGTCCGAGGAGAAAGGCATCAGGATTTATAAAAAAACAAAACAAAAATAGAAAACTGATCAAACTTTCAATCAAAACCGAAAAACTGGAAAACTTCGGTTTTCAAACAAATTACCGCCCTAAATCTTGATCCTACAAGAGGTGAAATGACGAGACTACGAGAGAACCTGAAGCGAGTAAAAACAAAACAAAACAAGAAGGGAAAGGTCTCGTCTTTCAGAACTTCAAAGTATTTAGGGGCTGCGATCCTACAGCTCATAGTAAAGAGCTGAACAAGGACCTGAATTTCTTAAAGGATTCGCATAAAATTATCGGTGCAGCCAGAGATTAACGAATTTGCACATAACTAGGTAATCTACAAAGACAGGCTTCTGAACCTGCCATTTGTTTTACTACGCAGACGAAAAGGTCGACTGATGAACTCCTTGCTGCGGTGATCTCCAATTAGGACTACCACAACCACCAAACGGAAGTTATTTCGTCTCTCTGAGTCCACTGTAGACAGCTTGTACACAGGAACGCCATGCCTCGTTGGAGACTCGTACACAGAGTCCAAATCAACTGTGAAGTAATACTGTGGAGAAAATGTTCTTATAAGCAGGTCCGTGAAGTATTTTTTTAAAAAATCATGCAGAGGGTAGGGGTTACATGAATTTATGGATATACAAGAGGCAGATGACGTGAAGGATTTTTCTCAGTTTTAGCTGTTGGTTTATAATTGGCGATCCAAGGACTTCTCTATGCGAAGTGATATACTATGGTCCCTTTTTAGTGTGAAAGAGTTTAGCTTTGGCGACCCCTGAGCCTTCACAGCCTTTTTCTCTAACACGAATGTTAATTTGGTGGGCGAAAGATAGGATTCGTGGTAACCTAGATATGCCTTGTTCTCTGTTACTACCTCTACCGGCAACTTAAATGTTCAGGCACATACATAATGACAAACACTAGTTATTAAAACATTTCTGGATATCATTTCATATGCGCTTGAACAATAATCGAAAAACGACGTTTAAGCTACAACCCTGGGTGGTTTAACGATTTTCCCTTCGGATCCCCTTCCCAAGTTCCCCCCCCCACCCCTCCCCCCGCCCTGTTCGGCATGTACTCAAGCCTGGAGATCAGAACTCTCGTTTTACCCCTATGCTCAAGTCTTTGCAGAATTTATACCATTAACTTTGTACAAAATGGTCGCTATTAAAAACATGCCACACTTTCTAAAGATTAGCAAACCCGATTGACTTACCTCTGAATCCACTGCAAGGCCAGCGTACGCTTTATATGTAATTTACTTGGACACCAAG